GTCACTAATCCTAGCCTATACCATTAACATCTCACATAATTTATCAACCTGGGTGTAAATGTATCATGTTGCTATTTGTTTTCCTCCATCTATTTTCCTTTCTTCCTCTCCTAGCCTTCTTCTTTGAATTAACTAAATAGTTTTCATGAATTTTTTTTTTTCCAGTGCTGGGAATCAAACTCAGAGCATCAAGCAGGCCAGCCAAGCTCTCTGCCACTGAGCCATATCCCTGGCCCTTTTATGATTTTTTTTTTTTTTTAAGCTGCCTGTGTAGGCCAAGCACAGTGGTGCATGCCTTTGATCCCAGTGGCTTGGCGGGGTGGAGGCAGGAGGATCCTGAGTTCAAAGTCAGCCTCAGCAATTTAGCGAGTCACTAAGCACTCATTGAGACCCTGTCTAATAAAATACAAAATAGGGCTGAGCATGTGGCTCAGTGGTCGAGTGCCCCTGAGTTCAATCCCTGGTACAGAGAGAGAGAGAGAGAGAGGGAGGGAGGGAGGGAGGGGGGGGCTGCCTGTGTAGTTATATTATAGATGGACACAATACCTTTGTTTTGTATGTGATGCTAAGGATCAAACCCAATGCCTCACATGGGCTAGGCAGGTGCTCTACTACTGAACCACAACCTCGGGCAATGATTAAACTATTATCTCTACCATTAGCCTCTTAGCTATACGTAATCATTTTTTCTGTGTGTGTGTGTGTGTGTGGCTGTTTTAGGATTTACAATGTGCATCTTTAATTTACAATAATCTACCTCCAAATAATATTCTTCCTGTTAATGTACTCTAAAAGACTATTACTGGTGAGCATGGTGGGTGGTGTTATGCCTGTAACCCCAGCTACTCGGGAGGCTGAGGCAAGAGAATCATAAATTCAAGGCCAGCCTCAGCAATTTAGTGACATTTTGTCTCAAAATAAGAAATGAGAAAGAGGGCTAAGGCTTGGCCCAGTGGTACACACCTGTAATCCCAGAGATTAAAGAGGCTGAGGCAGGAGCTTAATAAATTTGAGGTCAGTCTCAGCAACATAGTGAGACCCTGTCTCAGAAATAAAATAAAAAGAACTAAAGATGTAGCTCAGAGATAGAACATTCCTGGTTTCAACACCACTTTCTACTGCAATTTTAAAAAAGAAGGAGGAGGAGGAGGAGGTTAGCTCAGCCTATTTCCATCTCCTACCTCCTGTCTTCTGAGGTATTATAACAACTTTTACCTGTCAACAAAGGCTATAAATTCTATACTGCACTGTTACATTGTTTTACTGTTACATTGTTTTAAAGGCTCTAAGGGGATTATAAATTAAAGTATCTCATTTCTAGTATTTGTTTACATATGTACCATTTTGGATACTTTTCATTCCTTTGCATAGATTCATGTTTCCATGTTGTAACATTTTCTTCTGCTTCAAGGACTTGAAAAATTCTTGTATTGTAGGTCTGCTTCTGATGAGTTCTCTCAGCCTTTGTTGTCTGAATTTTCATCTTGCTTGTTCTTTCTTTTTTTCTAACATGGGATTGAACTCAGGGGCACTTGACCACTGAGCCATATCCCCAGCTCTATTTTGTATTTTATTTAGAGACAGGGTCTCACTGAGTTGCTTAACGCCTCGCTTTTGCTGAGGCTGGCTTTGAACTCGCTTTACTCCTGCCTCAGCCTCCTGAGCTGCTGGGATCATAGGCGTTCGCCACCATGCCTGGATCATTCACCTTACTTTTGAAAGACATTTTAGGTCAAAGCTAGGCATGGTGGCACACACCTGTAATCCCAGCAGCTTTAAATAAAATAGGGATGGGCGTGACTCAGTGGTAAGGGCCCCTGAGTTCAATCCTCAGTACCTCCCCCCCCCAAAAAAAAATTTAGTTTGAAATTTTTTTTCCCTTTCAATACTTGAAAAACTTTGCTTCATTTTCTCCTAGTTTGTATTGTCTGGAGAAATCTACTCATATCTTTATCTTCATTCTTTGTAAGTAAAGTCGCCCTCCCCTGCCCACCCACCTGCTTTTAAGATTTTTCATTTTATCATCAGACATGGTGGTACAGCCTATAATCCCATCAACTCAGGAGGCTGAGGCAGGAGGATCCCAAGTTCAAGGCCAGGCTCAGCAATTTAGTGAGACCCTAAACAACTTAGCAAGACCCTGTCTCAAAATAAAAAGGGCAAGGGTTGTAGCTTAGTGGTAAAGCACCCCTGGATTTGATCCCCAGTACAAAAAAAAAAAAAAAAAAAAGACTATCTATTCTTTGGTATTTGTTGATACCTGACATATAGACAAGTACATGGTGGTATCGTAGGATTCTATGTGTGTCTGCTAAATCAAGTGTATTAAGCATTCAAACCTGCGTTACTTTTTAAATCTCCTTGATCTATCAGTTACCAAAAGAAGTGTGTTAAAATTTGATTATTCTTGTGGATTTTCAGTGGATTCTTATAATTTTATTGTGTGATGTATGTTTATTTTTTAATTAAAATTTTAAAAATAATTGCAAAGTTAGTCCCCAACTTGTAATGGTTCAAATTATAATTTTTCAACTTTACAACACACCATGATTAGATGCATGTTGGACCTTCCCCATTTAGTTTCCCATGTATTAACCTTTCTTTCATATTTTTGTCTTTTGTTTTTTTATTTTAATTTATAGGATTTTAAAATTTTTTTAATCTTTCATAGTTTTGAAATCTCTCCTTTACCTCTTACTAGGTAATTAATTAATTATTGGTACCTGGGATTGCACCCAGGGGTCCTTAACCACTGAGATACAGCACCCTTAGCCCTTTTTATTTTTTGCTTCTAGACAGAGCTACACTAAGTTGCTTAGAGCATTTCTAAATTGCTGAGGCTCACTTTGAACTTGCGATCCTCCTGCCTCAGCCTCCCAAGCCACTGGGATTACAAGCATGCACCACCACGCCTGGCTTGTACTGAGTAATTCTTTACAGCATCACTTCATCTTACTAATTCATATATATATTAGTTATAGTTATATAGTTATAGGTGGACTCCATATCTTTACATTTATGTGGTGCTGAGGATCAAACCCAGTGCCTCAYGCACACTAGGCGAGAACTATACCTTTGAGCCAGCACCCCAGCCCTATCTTACTAATTCTTGCTTCCACTGGCTTATTCTACTTTTTTACCATTTGATCATTTTATTTTAATGCTCCTATTTTTCATGGCCTTGTGACTGCATTTGCTTCTTACTTTCATGGGTTTTTTTAATGGTTCTGATTCCCACTTTTACATTTATAACCAGGTTTATTTTGAAGTGTTCAGTCATTGTTCTCCTATCTGGACTCCTTGGTTGTACTAACCAGAAGTTCTTTGCCTCTTTCTGCTAATTTYGGCAGGGTTGTTTCTCGTTTGAGTTGTGACTTTTCATGGTGAGCTCATCCTCAGGGGTTTGGTTTGCTTGTTCTGCTCTGAAAGCTCTCCATGTGGCCTGGGCTTGGGAGGTGTTCCAGTGGAGTGGTTTTGTGTTTGCATTACCATTTGCTCTAGAAATATCCCAAGGCTAGGATTTTGTTCCAACTTCCTGCCTGGCAGTACCCACCGTGTGAATGCAGCCTTGGCGGGTGTGAGAGACACGCTAAGGGTTTTTAGGTTCTCCCAGCACTGGTACTTCCGTTATCTTTCTTCAAGTCTGCTAAGTGGGTTTGTTGGTTTTAGGGGGTTGGTTTGGGTTTTTTTTTTAGGCCCCAATCCTCAACATTCCCCATAGCCCTTGTGTTAAGACCTCGGAGGGGCCTTCGCCTCCTTGTCGTAGGCTGGAAACATTATTTTTTGGTGGAGCAGTACTGAGAATTGAAGTCAGAGGCACCCAACCACTGAGCCCCAGCCCCAGCCCTATTTTGTATTTTATTTAGAGACAGGGTCTCACYGAGTTGCTTAGCACCTCACTTTTGCTGAGGCTGGCTTTCAACTCACGATCCTCCTGCCTCAGCCTCCTGAGCTCCTGGGATTACAGATGTGCACCACTATGCCTGGCTGGATCACAAACTCTTAAGTGGATCTCTCTAACCCTTAGCTTCCTCTTCTGTAAACAACAGTACTTCTATCATGGGGGTAGGGGGGTAGATTTATGTGGGATAAAGCAAGTAAAATGCTTATCCGTACCTAACACATGGTAGAAGCTCAAAAAATACAAGTTGTTGTTATTCTAGAAGAGTTGGGCCAGGTGCAGTGGTGTGTTCCTTTCGTTCTAACACTCGAGACACTGAGGCAGGAGGATCACTTGAGCCCAGGAATTCAAGGCCAGCCTGGGCAACACAGTGAGACCCCTGTCTCAAAAGAAGAAAGAAAGAAATTTGGGACATTTGGAAAAGTATAGATAATAAATACCGTACTTTCCTCCGACAGTCATCACTAGTTCTTTAACTGTTTCTAACCTTTATTCAGATGTATATCCATATATTTCTCATAAAACCAAAGCTGTACTGCATGTCCCACGTGGCACTTTCACATTTGGTCAACACGTTCCTCAGCTCAGGCTGCCCTAACAAGGTACCAGAGACGGCTTGATTTTTCTCAGTTCTGGAGGTTGGACGTTCAACAGTAGGTGCCCAAGTGGGTGGGCTCTGGTGAGGGTCCTCTCCTTCATGGGCAGCTCCCTTCTCAGTGTGAGAGAAGAGATGAGCCCTCTGGTATCTCTCCTCGTCAGGGCGCCATCTCACCAGAACCCTCCACACCTTTCGCCTCTGGGTCCTAACCATGAATTTGCGCAAAGGAGGTCCCAAGTCAGACCACAGCCTTCAGACTTCTCCAACAGCTGCCCCTCATCTTGGAAGGCAATCTGTGGTCTTGAAGCGAGATTTTAAGGYTCCCATCTTGGACAAGGCCCACCTCAGCAGGAAGGGAGCAGGCACCAAGGTCCACACAGCCCATGAGCGTTTGTGGTGGGAGGAGCATATCTGAGTATTACCAAGGCCAGCCCACAGCAGCTGCCAAACCTCAGTGACCCTGTCTCCTCTGCTCCTGTCCCCACATCCCTTCCACTGCAGGTCGCCATGACAGGAGTAGAATTTTCTCCTCCAGTTACTTTTCACCTCCGGGCTGGCTCAGGGCCTGTGTTTCTCAGTGGCCAGGAATGTTATGAGGTTGGTAAGTATGAGGTTGGTGGGCAAGTTTGAGGGTATGGTGCCAAACAGGACTAGGGACACACTGGGTACTCAGACATTTGAGAGATTCTTGAATTGGGGGACAAAATCCCCAAAGGCAACAGGATCACCTGGAGCCTGAAGTGGAAGGCCACGGCAAGTGTCCTGGCCCCAGGTCCTCTGTGGGCCTCAGCCCCTCATCTGTAGCTTGAGAATGGGGCCTCCCTTGGCTTCATCTTTGAAGAATAGTTTCAAGAATAAATGAGGTGATCAGAAGGAGCACTTAGCAAAACACCTGTACACAGGACCACCCCAGACCTGGCTGCTGGTTCAGTAGGAAGCTGTGCAGTGTAGGAAACAGCTCGGTATAACCTTGTTCCCTTCAAGACCCCTTCCGCTGGCCTCTTCTCTGTCCAGCTGTGCCTCTCTCTCAGGGCACTCTCCTCCCCAAAATCCTCTGGCATCTCCCATTCCCTTAGGCTAAGGGCATTAGTCCACTCATGAGGGTGGAACCCGAAGACCTAATCACCTTCCACTGGGCCCCAGCTCTGCTCTATCCCACCACCTCAACTGTGCCATGCTGGGGACCACGTCACCAGCACTGGAACCTGCTCACCCTCTCTGCCCACCTTCATGCTCGCCCCTACCCCTTCCTAATGGTGTGTGGTCCTCCTGCCTTGCCCTCTTTCTCCCATGCCCACCTTCTGGGGGCTTCCAGGGTCCCACGCCCCACCCTGGCCCCCACTTTGTGGAGGAGAAAGGCCCTGGGCAGTGGGTAGGCTAACACCTTCAGCTCCATGCAGGATCTCCTCAGGACCACACTTGGGGCACAAGTCTTGGGACAGGAGGCAGGTGTCACCCAGCTGCTCAGAAGCTCTGCCACTCCCCTACCCCTGCCCCTTTGCCCACACCATCACAGAAACTTCAGACCTACCCTGGGAAGAAGAGGAGGAGGAGGAAGAGGTGGAGGAGGAAGAGGAGGAAGAAGAGGAAGAAGAGGAAGAGGATGACATCGAGGCAGATGTGTCTCTAGAGGACACACCTGTCAAACAAGTCAAGCGGCCGTCACTGCAGAAGCAGACCAGCGTTGCCAAGGTGGGGGAGGAGCATAGCTGCTCTCACTGAGGTGGGACCCTGCATAGGACCTGGGAGGGACTGGGCTCCAGCATGTGGCCCAGGCTCCCAAAGGAGCCTGTGGGACAGGCCAAGGCTACCGCCACCAAGTCCTGCCAGGTGTTCAGCTGGGACTATGTGGGGCTGGGTAGTCTGCTCCAGCCCTGGGTCCTTCCCTGGCTCTCCTAGTAATGCTTGGTTTTGGTTTCCAGAAAAAAAAGCTGGACAAAGAAGAGGAGACAGAAAGGTAATTCTTTCCATCTATTAAATTCGCCAGAAGTCGTTGGCTGAGGTGTGTTGTGCTAGAAAGAGCAGGCCCAGCAGGCGTGTGCGCAGTGAAGGGACTACCCTCTAAAAGGCATGCAGGTGTTCTCTTCCCCTGCAAGGAATCCTGTTCAAGATGTGGGAGAGGGGCTGGGGCGGGGGCTCGGCGGTAGAGCGCTGCTTGCCTAGCATGTGCGAGGCCCTGGGTTCCATCTTCAGCACCACATAGAAATAAAGGTATTGTGTGCAACTACAACTAAAAAATAATTTTAAAAAATATGAGAGAAATTATACCCATGGCACGATTCAAATACTAGTATTCAAATACCATCGGGGCATTATTCAAATACTAGTGAAAGCAGCCAGGCATAGTGGCACACAGCTATAATCCTAGCAGCTCAGGAGGCTGGGGCAGGAGGCTTGCAAGTTCAAAGCCAGCCTCAGCTGCTTAGCGGGGGCCCTAAGTAACTCACTGAGACTCTGTCTCTAAATAGAATACAAAAAGGGGCTGGGCATGTGGCTCCATGGTTAAGTGTCTMTGGGTTCAATCCCAGGTCCAAAAATAAAATAAAACTAGTGGAAAAATGCAAGCACTATAAATGTCTACTAAGATAAAAGTTAACTAAATGATGCTCCCTCTTTCCCTTTCTCTCTTTTTTTTTTTTTTCTTTTGATCCTGAGGAGTGAACCACCGGTACTCTACCACCTCAGAGCTCCACCACATCCCTTTTTTATTTTATTTTAGAGAGTACTGGGGACAGAACCCAGAGGCATCTTTTACCACTGAGCCACATCCCCAGCCCTTTTTTATTCCTTAAGACAGGGTCACACACAAAAAAAGGGGGGTCTCACTAAGTTGCTGAGGCTGGCCTCAAACTTGTGATTCTCCTATCTCGGCTTCCCAAGTAGCTGGGATCACAGGCATGCGCTACCATGCCTAGCCACATAATGCTTTTGAAACTTATAACAAGAGAAAGTATTGATAGTTCAAAGAAGAGGATATCAAACTATTTTTATCTTATTTCACATAGTTTTAGAAAGTTTACAGAAAAAGTATACTGAAGTGTTACTATTGGTGGGAAGTAAAGAAAATTATAAATAACTTATTCTTATTTTTAAAAAAATTTTTTAGTTGTAGGTGGAAACAATGCCTTTATTTTTATTTATTTATTTTCATGTGGTCCTGAGGATCAAACCCAGTGCCTCACCCATGCTAGATGAGCAYTCTACCACCAAGCCACGACCCCACCCCCTATTCTTTTATTTATGTGTGATGCAGTTAGAATTATTTTTATATTTTTATATTATCCTGGGAAAGGCAGGAGGACAGGGCCATGCAGTGGTCATTCAGGCCACTTCCCTGCTGTCAGAAGAAAAAAAAAAAGGTTGTTTAATAAAAATGGACAGGCAGGACCCTGGTGGTAGCCAGGGTGCAATGGACCCAGTAGCTTCACCTCCCCTGGCCCAGGCCCCTGTCTCCTGGAACCATTCCGGCTCAGGAGGACCCAAGCTCCTGGCATCAGGCTGAGCTCTCTTGCCCACCTGTGACCCCAATTCTTGCCAACCCCACCCTATTCCAGGTCCAGCCTTCCAGAGAAGAGCCCTGTAAGAAAGGTGAGTGGCAGCAGGTGAGGCTGGCCTCCGGGGAGCCTCTGGGTTCTGGGAGGCTGCCCAGGCCAGAGAAGAAAGTGGAGACGGGAGCTTTCCCTCATCTTCACAGGCCAAACCCACAGTCAGATCTAAGAAGCTGGGTTCCAAGAAGTGAGGAGCCAGGATGGCCTCGCCCCAGTGACGGAAGAAGGGCCGCAAGCCCACCGCACAGAGGGTCTTCCTCCCTCTGTGCGCTGGGTGCAGATGTCCCCTTACCAGCCCCCTTCACCTGAGCCTCAATGTGACAGAGTGTTGTGAGGGCCCCACGGGAGCCTCGCACCCTGAGCCCTGCGGTCTCGAGAGGCCCTGGAGAGAAGAGYGCGAGAGCACAGGGCCACAATAAAGTTTGCTTTGTCAGGACCTCTCTCCTCTTTCTTGGGTCAGACTCCCCGGCTACAGCTGTCCATGTGCCCAGTAGAGGGCAGCCTCGAGCAGCACACAGGCCCTGAGGGTGCCCAGGGCACTGGGGCCAGGCCCTCAGCCTGCCAGCTGCGCAGAGCTTCAGGATTTACCTGCTTGTGCTACCAAGAAGGGCCTGTCCCCAGGGCCCCAACTCTCTTCCTCCCCCTGCCCTCCTCCTGTCAGGCAGCTGTCAAATGTACAGAGTACCCACGGGAGTGGGGGGAGCAGCTCAGGGGGCCTTACTCTCTCGGCCTTCTTCTGGGAGGGTGCTGAGCCCCATGGGCCACTTGAACAAGGCCCAGAAAGTGTTGGAGTGAAGCCAATAGACAGCAGGGAAGTGGCCTGAATGACCACTGCATGGCCCTGTCCTCCTGCCTTTTCCAGGCCTGCTACATGGCTTTGGGTTACTGACCCTGGCTTAGCTCCTGATGCAGGCAGGCATGCAGGTGGCTCTCCTCTAGGGACTGCACTTGCAGGGCTTCTGCAGGGTTTCTCCCAGCATGCCGTGGGCCAGGCCTAAAGCAAGGCAGCAGAGAGCTGCCCGGGAGCCCCAGGTGCAGGTCCCAGGAGGTCAGGTCCTTGAACACCTGCATGGGAAAGTCAGCAAAAGGCTTGGGACTCTGGTCAGCTCCTCGGGCCCTTGGTAGGCAGCTAGTGTTCACTGAGCCTGGTTTTGGCCACAGCAATACAGGATGGACAAAACCAATTCCTTACCCTCAAGTCGCCTCTGATATAGTGGAAAACAAAAGTCAACAAAAGTTATTGAATGTAATTTCAAAAACAAAAGTTATTGGATGTAATTTCAATAACATTCAATGCTTTGAAGGAAGTAAATAGGTTAATTTCCATGGTAGGAAGGGCCATTTGGTTAGGAAATATGTGAGGAGCTTCAGAAATTGAGGACAGGAATTATTTAAGTCCAACCAGGTACTGTGGCACACAACTGTAATCCCAGAGACTTGGGAGGTTGAGGCAAGAGGATCGAAAGTTAGAGACTAGCCTCACCAACTTAGTAAGGCCCTAAGCAACTTAGACTTTATCTCAAAACAAAAAAATAAAAAGGGCTGGGGATGTGGCTCAGTTGTAAAGTACCCCTGGGTTCAATCCCCAGTATCCCCCAAAAAATTAAGTCCCAGTAGCCATCCCACCAAAAAAAGAATTAAGTCCAAAGGACAGTCTAGCAGATGGCTGAGCTTCTTCAAAGTCGAAGGTATGGGGCAAGGACTTCCTCCCTTCCCCCAGCCCCAGGGGAGAGCCCTGGGGATCCTCACAGGAGGGTTCTGAACAGATAACCAGCGAGCATCTGATTCTTATTTGCAGACACACAGTAGGTATCAACTGGCAAATGGGAGCCAGTCTGCATTCCTAGGGCGCCCTTTGCCCTTCTCCCTTCCCTAACCCTCCCGCTTTCAACAGGAAAAGGGTGAGCTGGGACTGAAGCAGGAGCTGACAAGTGGCAGATATGCAGGTGGGCTCGTGTTTGCAGCAGCTGGCTGTTGGGAGGAGCAGGCGCTAGACGGCCCCAGTTGGGGGGTGTTGAACTTGGCACTAGGGGGTGGAGATTAGCTGCGCAGCCAGGCTACTTCTCACTTCCCTTATCACCTCCTGCAACCCCCCCCCCACCAATGCTAATGAGCTGCACCCTTCTCCCCTCCTCCTTTCCCCCCAGCTCCAGTGAAGGACAAAGTCGAACAAAGTGTAGGTAAACTGAGGTTGAGCCACGAGGGTCACTGCCCCCTTCCCCTGTTCTTCCCCTGTTCTTTTCAGTCATCTGAAAAATCATCACAAATCTCAGCTGACCTTCCTGGTGGCAGTTCTGACAACATTAGTAGTGGCCATTTCCTTTTATGAACTGGGAACCTGAGACCAGAGAAGGAAAGGGACTTGACATGGTCACACAGCTATGAAGGCCAAGCAAGGGGATGGGAAAACACCCAGGTCCCTGCCTACAGCGCGCCAGGCCTTGTGGCTCCCCACCTGGGGCACACCACTGACTCTCCCCTTGGGGCAAAGGAGCAAGTTGAACCAGAAGCCAGGCCTCCTAATGCCAAATGGACAGGACAAGGAGACAAAGAGATCTCACCCAGGAAGCAGGCTACTCTGCCATGCCCCAGAGTCCCCTGGCACCAGCCTCCAGCTGAGTCCCAAAGCCAATCTTGACTGCTAGCATCTGTTACCATGGAGACCTGGGCTGAGATTGGGCCAGTAATGGCAGACCCTGTCCCCACCCACAAGAACCTGGAGCTCAGGCTTAGAGGCCTTGAACAAATCCCACTGTCCCTTGGGTGAATGAACCCTAAGGGCATAAGGTAGAATCCCCCTCCCTCTACCATCTGGACACCACTGTGGAGCATCAGGGCCTGAGCCCTGTGAATCTGTGCCTGCGACCCCACCTGACCCCTGGGTTGGAGGTTGGCTGGAGGTGGCCTCTAACACCCTCTCTGGGGGCTGGTGGGTTTGGGCATGAAGGCAGAGGTTCCCCAAGGGATCAAGACAGAATCTGATGGGGAGAGACACTGGGGGAGGTTCCTGGAAGAGGCAGAGACTGAAACAGGCCTAGAGTAATGGGAAGAATGTGGAAGAGGAGTGCAGAGGATGGCTCAGCAGGGGGCGAGAGGCGGCGGGCTGGGGTGTGGTCAGGGAACAGCAGGCACTGTGCTAGGATGTGAGCATCTGGCCTTTTGTCATGCACCACCATGCCAGCAGTGAAACACGAGGTGAGTCACCAACCCACTMTGAGTCTCATCTGTGGAATGATCGGTTGAACCAGATCATGAAGCTCTAAAATCGCTTCCAGTTTTGATGCCATTTGAATCTGATCCCAAAGCCCTGGATTCCCCAGGTTACTTGAGCCTCCACCCTCCTTAAACCAGTTCARGCAACTTACTCCTGGGCCCCCTGCTTGGGGCTTAAGCCGGGGGAGGGCGGAGCTGGACAGCCCCCTGCTGGAGCTGGACGGAGCCCTGGAGGGGGCTGCTTGGCTTGTTTGTGTGTGTGGCCAGGGTGGCAGACCACTTTGTGGATTGCTGAAGCTCAGGAAGGTGAGAGGAACCTGGAGGTGAGAGTTTCACCCTAAAAGTCGGCTCCTTAGGTAAATGAACCCACACCTGGCATTTCCCTTCTCCCTTCCCAGGGCACCAAGAACTCCAGGGAGTCAGAGCTGAGACCTGGGCTTCTCTCAGAGACCCCCTCCTGCACTCCCCACTCTCACTGTCACCAACGTCCCCTCTCTGTAGGGAGGAGACAGCACAGAGCTCCCTGGCCATCAGCTTTCAGGACCTCCCTGTCACCTTAAAACACAGAAAGGCTTCTGAGCCCCTACAAGGAAGCCCTATGGGGTTGGGGCTCTGGAGGGCACGGCCCACAATCAGAGGAGAGGGTTCATGGACTCACCTGGTCACTCCATCCACTGGCTGGCTCATTTTGAGCAAGTGACCTCCCAATGTACCTCAGTTTTCTCATCTGTAAATGTGGGTGTGAAACGTGAGACTGTGAAAGCTGGCCCAGCACAGCGCTGGGAGCCTGGAGGTCAGCCCCGCAGTGCTAGGGACCTCGAGGTGGGGGGGGGGGGGCTGAGCGGCTGGGGAGAGTAAATGGGGCTGGTTTTCAGGCCAAGAGTAAGGTTCAGAATGTTTTATAGATTTTGAAGTCTCCTAAATGCTGCTCTCTCATTTGGTCCCCCAATACCCTGAGACATTGTTATCCCCATTTCTCAGAGAAGACTGCAGAGTCCCCCTGGAAAAGTGGCTCAGGTCAATGTACCCTGCTCTTCTCCATCTCAGGCCAGCTTTTGTGACTCCATTCGGGTCCTTGCAAGACCTTCCACCTCCAGCCCAACCCATTGCACCCAGTATTTGCTAGGGTTGGACGGCCTTAACCCCTCCTTCCCAGTGGCTAGGGGTGACGAGAGGCAGCGCCAGCGGCTGCTCAAGCCAAGCCCACCCCTGCCCCCTGGAGGGAGGCTCCTCCTTTTAAGGCTGCTTCTGGGAATTCTCACCCTGAGCCAGAACCCGCGACCCCAGTCCCAGCTCAGTACCTGCCGCTCACCCTCGGGGAGATGGGGCACCAAACCTGAGGGCAGGAGCAGCTGACCCTAAGAGGGGAAGGCGCCCTCCCTCCCCTGCCTGCCACACGCCTGCACCGCACGGAGTAAGGCAGGTCCGAAGGGTCAGGAATAAAGCAGGAGACTGACTGCAGGGGCCAGCCTCCCAATCGAGAAGGCTCCCGCAGCTCCATCCTGCGCCTGGGTAGCCCAGCCCGGGGCTGGCAGCCCAGAGGGCGCGAGCTGGGGAGCCCCCACCAGCGCCGGCTTTGCAGCCTCACTGGCGGGGAAGGTGGACACCTCACACCTCAGTCTCCCAATTACGCCCTCCTCCCCTCCTCCCCCCTCCTCTCCCTCCTCCTCCCTTCTCTCTCTTCTTCCCCCTGAAAACCTGTGGCTCCGAGAGACCTTGACTTCTCTGGGACTACCCCTGGGGCCTGCCCACATCTGCTCCTGAGTTTGGGGGCAGGGGGGTGACCGCCCCAAGAAGTCTCTCCAGCGATGGGAGCCGCCCGCCTGCTGCCCAACCTCACTCTGTAAGTGCGCTGCCTGGGACTGGACTCTTATTGCCATTTCCAGCCCCGGGGCAGACCTGTCTCCCCAACTCCTATTTGGGTGGGCTGGGCCAGGTGGAGCAGGGTGGGGGCAGGTGGAGCAGGGCAGGGATGGGGGGCTGGGGGGGCCTGGGTGCACCCCTGGGCTTGCCACTGGCACCCACACTTGGGTCTGCCTTGTCCCCTTCACAGGTGCTTGCAGCTATTGATTCTCTGCTGTCAAACGCAGGTAGGYGCCCCCACTCCCCAGCTCCCCCACCGCACCTAAGAGAGGGGGAAGGAGGTCTCTGAGCCTCTGGTGCAGGCAGGCTCTGGCCTCTCTGGCATCTAGAAGGTGCTGAGGTTTGGAGGATCAGCTTTTGGGGGATGACTGGAAAGGGGGCTAGGAAAGCCTTGGGGATAGAGAGAGGTTTTAATCTGAGGTCTCCCTCTGAGGACCCTCCCTGCTCCCCATGAGTCTCTACCTCTCTGTCCATCCCTCTGCTCTGGGCTCCCCCAAAGGCTAAGTGCACATGCTCTCAAGACTCCAGGGATGGAGCCCAGGAGCAGTTGAGGGGAGGGGACAGTCATGGCGCAGGTGAGGCTTGAGCCTGCAAGCACCTGAAAGGACAGGTTTTGATGCAAATCCACTTGTATGATCCCCCCATTTTCCCCCTCCCACCTCCACAGATGTCCAGCAGGGTCCCGTGGGCACAGTGGGAATGCCCAGCTGGGGTGGGGCAACTCCCTACCTATAGGGCAACGAGGTCAAGCCCAAAGATTTGTTTGGGATGGAATTCAGGGTTTGCTTCTTCACATTCCCCCCACCCCAAGTCTGCCCTCCACCCCCCCCCACCATGCACACCTCCCACCCCCAAGCCTCAGCCCCCTGTGCATGGCTCGTCCTTTTTTTGTGATCCTCCATAAAAGTGCAGCTATTAAAATGCACTGGTCCAGAACCGCTCTGGGGAGAGACCGCCTGGCTTTCCCAGGCCAGAGGCCGGCTTCTCTTCCTATCCAGTGGGGACTTTTTTTGAAGGTAAATGCCTTTTCTCTGGGAAGGGACTGGGCTGCCTTTGAAGCAGTGGGGGGGTGGGAGAGAGAGACAACGCCCCCCCTTTTCCTTCCCCCTTTTGCTGTAGCCCCGTTCCAGGCCTTTTGCTTCACACATCCAGGGAGAGCAAGAAGAAAGCCCCCAGCCTGGCCGGGAGGGGGCTGGGGGTGGCCCAACCTGTTCTGGAAGGGGAATTAGCACAATGGTGCGGCTGGCCGGGGCGTTTATGGCCTGGCTGAGGCCCCATTCAGGACGCGGGAAGGTGGCAAGGCTGTCCTTTCCCCCTTGAAGTGCCCCCTCACCCCCCTGCGAAGGGGGGCGGCAGGCTGAACCACAGCCATGCTTGAGGGGCCGGCTGACAAGCAGCTGTCTGCGGCTGTGGAAGGGGAGGTCCCCCCGCAGCGGGAACATGAAAGGGACAGGCAAGGTCCCGCGGGGAGAGGGACTTGTGGGCTGTGGGCTGTGGGGGGGCGTGGGCTGCTTTTGTGAAAGGCTTGAAGGGGAATGGAGAGAGGAGGGGGCTTTGGGGGGCCCTCTCTGCCCCTGACCTGGAACAGACTGCCAGGAGGAGGCTGCCCGCCAAGAGGGGCGGACAGCCTGAACCTGGGCCAGGAGGCTCAGGCTGGGACAGTCAGGGACCCCACCCCTGGCAGGGAAGCCAGGGAGGGGCAGACTGGCAGATTCCTCCACCCCAAATTCTCACCTCAGGTTTTTCCAGGGTGGGATTCACGGTAGTGCCCCAAATTGGAGAACTACCTGGAATCTGCCTAGGGAGCCTGGCGATGACAATGGGCAGTGACGCATCAGAAGGATTAACCCAGGGCAGGTTAAACCTTTGGCCTCAGAGCTGCTCCTTCATCTCTCCCTCCTCAGAGATGATATTTCCCACCCCTCTCCCTAGGGGACAGTGGCCCCTATCGGATGCCCAGTTGTGTCTAGCTCTGTCCAGATGGTTGGGATCAGGCCTGGTATAAAGATGGAATTAGGGCCAGGCTCAGTGGCACACACCTGTGATACCAGCTACTCAAGGCCTTGAGACAGGAGAGACAGGAAGATCACAAGTTCAGGGCCAGCCTGGGCAACTTAGCCTCAAAATAAAATTAAGGCACAGCAGGCTGAGGGTCCAGCTCAGAGGTAAACCACTTCTGGGTTCAATTCTCAGAATCAAAAAAAAAAAGAAAAAAGAAAAAGAAAAAAACAAAAGGAGGAAATTAGGAATTCTGGGCAGGGCAAGGCTGTCCCCCAAATGGCCAATAGTATCCAGATAGAGAAACAAGTGAGGTGCGTCTTCATGCTAGAGCTAAGGCCATCTCCAGTGGATAGGAACTGTCCTCCTGATGGGCACCTAATAGGATGGCAGGAAGTGATCTGTTTCTCCCCGACTCAATGTTACAGAGTGGTAAGGGCAACCCCAGCGTGGAGATGGTGGTGGTAGTGTGCTTGGGTGGAAATAGCTCCTTTCCTGGCCCTGGAAAGGAGAGCAGGCTGATGGTGGCAACACCTTCTACCTGCCTGGGGAGCCTCAATTACACTATGGCACCAGAGGTCACATTGTGGCACCAATAGGCAGGCAGCCTGTGAAAGCAGCCATTGAATCCCACTGATAGCACTTCCCGKGAGGGAGGTATTAGACCCACAGAGCCCACAGGGAAGTGAGCACCRCAGGAAGGGGAGCCAACTGCCCAGACAGAGGGCCCCATGTACCTGGGGAAGACACAGGGGAGCAGGATCTGGAAAGGCAGCTTACAGGGCTGACGGGGCCCTAGATAAAGATAAGGGCATAAGAGATCCCAAAATATTCTCCAGTGACCCTAACTCAAAGCACCTAATAAACCATCTGCTCTGTGCACAGGCACTAGGGCAGGGATCTTTCAAAGTGTGTGGGGAGGATAAAGGAGAAATCAGGTAGCCCTGGCTAATGGATCCAAGACCCCAGAGGTAGGAAAACAGGGTCTGTCTCAGGTGAGCTGTGTGTCTCTGTGCACCTCCTCCACACATGGGAAGGGCCGCCATAGCCTTGAAGGTCCTTTCCAGCTTCCCAGGTTATGATTTCAAGTCTGCTGTATCACTGTGTCCCCCAAGCCTGGGCAGACACAAGGTTCCTGCTGTTYGGTTGCTGGACGCAACCAAAAGGCCATGACTGTCTCACCCAGCAGCCTGGGTAGGTCATGGCCCCATGCCAACTTCACCTTGCACCTTCTACTCTGCAGGACACAGGGCCTGCCCCCACTGCACTCACCTAAACACCCCTCTCCCCCGATGGACCAGTGGTGGTGTCATCCAAAGCAAATTGACACTATTTTTCCCTTGGTAACCGCAAAGGGGGAGAATCACCCGTCTCCTAATTTTAACCAGTACGTGAGGGACCAGGGTGCCATGACCGACCAGCTGAGCAGGCGGCAGATCCGTGAGTACCAGCTCTACAGCCGGACCAGTGGCAAGCACGTGCAGGTCACCGGACGTCGCATCTCCGCCACCGCTGAGGACGGCAACAAGTTTGGTGAGACCTGGCCCTCGGCTGCAGGCCTGGCCTCCTGGCCCATCCCCAGAGCCTGTGCCAGGGCTAAGGCCACAGCGGGAGGGCCCCAGGGCCTGACAGTTCTCAATCCCTCTCACCTGCCTGAGTTTGGAGGGCAGACTGGTTGGGGATCCTTTCTGCACCCCTGGCTGGCAGCCCTGTGACTGAGGCCTTTCTCTCCTCCCCCATCACAGCCAAGCTCATAGTGGAGACAGACACGTTCGGCAGCCGGGTGCGCATCAAGGGGGCGGAGAGTGAGAAGTACATCTGTATGAACAAGAGGGGCAAGCTCATCGGGAAGGTGAGGCCTGCGCGGGGCCTGCTGGCAGGGCAGACAGGGCTAACAGACCCAGCTCCCCCTGCAGAGCCCACCCACAGGAGCAAGACAGGGACCTCAGTGGGGCTGTGACTTCTTACTGTCCTCTCAGCACACCTGCTGTGCCTCCGTGCTTCTCTTTCAATGGCTCTCTTAGCCTTCTGGGGGGACCCCTGGCTCTGATATAAGGTGCCTTTCCCCAGCAGCGATCAGTAAGAGTGTTAATACCCACATGTCCCTGTATGAAGGGCTAAGGGCTCATGAGGGTTGAAAGCCGGGGCACATAGAAGACAGAAGCTCCCCCAAGTTCAGTGGGTCCCCCAAGTTCAGTGGGCTCCAGCTAGCAAGATGCACACTAAATACTGGGCAATGAACCCTTCCTTAGTGGGGTCCATCCAGCTTGTCAGTAAAGAGGATTACATTTCCTTTGGAACTGGGCACTCCTGGCTTCCAATTCTAGCTGCTGCTCACCAAATAACCTCAGGCATGTTGTCTGAGAAAGGAGCATAGGGCATGGGGTCCATAGGGTCAAGTGGGGCTGTTGTGTCCGACACTCTTCTTCCCTTTTTTCTTTTCTTGGGGGGCAGGGAGAAGGACCTAGGGAATTGAACCTAGAGGTGCTTTGCCTCTGAGCTATATCCCAGCCTTTTATTTTTTTCCCCCTCAGCAATTTAGTAAGACAGAGTCTCACTAAATTGTGATCCTCCTGCCTCAGCCTCCCAATTGCTGCATTCTGATCCTTCTTTCTTTTTTGTCAGAGACTCTTGCCTCCCTCTCTCAACTCAGCAGCACCCCTCACCCAGACTGAATGAGTTTTCATGTACCAAGTGCCCCAGGGGACACATTACCTTGATCTTTGTGTCACTTGTCACGAAACTGAGCCTCAATGGCTAAACACCTCAACTGCCAAGTAACAAGCCTGTATCTAAATTCAGCTCTGACTCCAAGCTTGTTCATTTTGCCTTATTAGCAAAGATGCCCGTGTCACTAGGCAGCTCCCCCCTGGGAATAAGGGACCTACAAAATAGGTCCAAAGGCAGATAAGCCCTCTGGGGCTGGGTGGACAATTTCTTCTCCTCCCTCTCCACAGCCCAGTGGGAAGAGCAAAGACTGCGTGTTCACTGAGATCGTCCTGGAGAACAACTACACAGCCTTCCAGAATGCCCGGCATGAGGGCTGGTTCATGGCCTTCACCAGGCAGGGCCGGCCTCGCCAGGCCTCCCGCAGCCGCCAGAACCAGCGAGAGGCCCACTTCATCAAGCGTCTCTACCAGGGCCAGCTGCCCTTCCCCAACCATGCTGAGAGGCAGAAGCAGTTCGAGTTTGTGGGCTCAGCCCCCACCCGCAGGACCAAGCGCACTAGGAGGCCCCAGCCCCTCACGTAGTCAGGGAGGGAGGCGGGAACAGCTGCCCCTCAGCAGCCTTCCCACCCCCTTCCCTTCCTAATCCAAAGACTGGGCTGGGATGGAGGGAGGGGAACCAGAGCCCCAAGGAGGACCCTGAGGACCCGAAGCATCAGTGCCCCCAGCTGGGAAGGGACAGGACTGTTGCTCCCATGGGCTGGCGCCACACACTGAAATAGGCTCCTTTCTGGGCCAAGGGCAGATCCCAGGAGAGGAACTAGTGTGTCACCCTGATGGCACAGCCAGCCTCCCAGCAGTGGCCTGAAACAAGCGGACAGGTCAGATATGTGAGGCCTTGCACAGGCAACCCGGATGGAGGTGTCTGGCTTCAAATCTTGTTCCCCAAATCCCCCTCAGCCTGTCCCCAGCGCCCAAGCTCGTCTTGGCCAGAGAATAGGAAGGGACTTTCGGTGTTTTTGTTCATTAAAAAAAAAAAAGAGAGAGAGAGAGAGAGAGAGAGAGAAAGGGCCGGCCATTCCTCACTCTCCATGACCCAGGCCTGCACCCCCACCCGAAACCCCAGAATAAAACCATTTTCCTGCAAACGGGTTATCTGGAGTGGGGTGGACTGGAATCAAGTTGGCTGCTGCACGCGGCACAGAGAAGCGCCTGGCGCTGGCCGAGGGGATGGGCGGCAGGTGCAGGGGCCACTGGCCGCACGTCCGGCACGGGCGGGGGGGCCGTGCGGCAGGAGGCAGGCGGCCCAGGGCGTGCCCAGGCCCCGGGGACCGGGCGGCCACTCCCTCTGCGGGCTCCGGTGTCCTCGGCTCGCACGGTGCGTCCCGTGCTACCTGTTGGGGCGGAAAAAACCCAATCCCCAGGTGGGGCCCGAGCCGCCGGGCCGCGGGGCCGCGGGGCCGGGTGTCCAGGGGGCCCAGGCCCGAGGCACCGGCGCGGAGCTGGCGGGGCCGGCGGCCCGCGGACGCCCCAGCCGCGTCGCGGGGAGCGAGATTGCTTTCTTCCGGTGAGGAGGGCCGGGCGGGGTGGAGGGCTGGACGAGCGGAAGGGGGGTGGGGGCGAGAATGTGTCCCCTTGTTCTCCCAGGTCCCCGCTGGGGTGGGGGCGGGGGCCACACCTGAGGGCAAATCTCAATTAGAGGCGGCGGCGGCGGCGGGCTCGGTCCGGATGGCCCCGGGGAGGCGGGAGGCCCTGCCCCCACGGCGCTCCGGGGGTGGGCTTTCCCAGAGGCCTCCAGGTGTGCCCGGGGCTGCGGCTCCAGGCCATAAAAGCCGCCTCTTGGCTGGTGCGCGGCTTTTCATCTTGTTAGGGGGCGGGGCTTCCTAGCTGCCCCCAGGCCCCGCCGCGGACTCTCCGCGGCTGCTGAATCCCCCGGCCTCAGTTTCCCTCCCTCCCTCCTCGGTGCTGAGAAAAAGTTGGGCAGAAGGATTAGGGAAAGARGAGAAAAAGGATGAAAGCCATCCCTTCTTCCCACCGGTCCCTTGGGCCTCAAATAAGGCGAGAGGAGGGAAAGGGAGGTGGCAGCCGCAGTCCAGGTGGACGGCGAGGGCTGGAGCCCAGCCTGACCCCAACCCGGGGCCATTTAGAAGGTGGGGACCGCAGCAGCCCAGAGGGAGGTCCCCAGGCCTCAGGACAGACATTCTCCTTGCAGTTTGTCATAATTGCTTTTCACCAGGTTGCTTTTTTCCCTCTCCCCCCATCACAAAGAATCTTAATCCTGGTGAAGACCGTGGGCTGTGTTGGGGGTCGTTTTCTGGGGTGGGTAGGGCGGGTGGTCTGGAGCGCAGCTGATAACTGGCGAGTTCAATGGGACTTTAAAAACTGGGGCAACACCCAGCAATTACTTGAGGACAAAGGATTGGGGCCCCCCAGGTGTGGAGGACTGGACTTTGGGGAGCGGGGGGGAGGGGGCCGGGAAGGAGGTGTGTTGGGGAGTGGGGACTCTTACAATCACTCTGATTTCCGCAGGAATTTGAGACATTCTTTAAGACTTTAGACGGCCTCCCCCCCAGCCGGGCCTTTGGCCCACCCCCATCCCCCACCCCCTTGCTCGGGTTAGAGACGGCTTCAAAGGTGGACGGGGCTCTTTGTCTTGCCTGAGCTTTCTTCTCAGCCTTTTCTGGCCCCTCCCTGGCTCTTTTTGACCTCCCCAGCACAGACAGGCCTCTGGGGGCCGGCTCCAGAAAGCCCTCACTGTTTCCTTTCTTGCTTTTTGAGGTGAGACCTGGCACGCAGGGACCAGGAATGGGGAAGGACAAGGGAGGGCAGTTTCAGAGGCCTGTGCATCTCAGGTAGTGTCTTCACCTCCAGCCAGGCCCTGGCCTGGGTGTCTGATGCCTGCTCTGGCCTCTGGTCCCTGACTGGGCTCTGAATTTTCTCACCACCACATTTCTTAGTGCCTCTGCCCAGGATCCAGGTGCCCTACCCCAGGCAACCCTTCACATCCTGGGGAAGTCTGCTCAGTTCATTGCTTCCTCATAAAAGATGCTTTAAAAAAAGAACCTGCCACCAAGTCAGGCACAGTGGCGCATGCCTGAAATCCCAGTGACTCAGAAGGCTGAGGCTGGAGGATTTGCAAGTTTGAGGCCAGCCTCAACAATTTAGCCCCTGTCTCAAAGAGGGAGGCAGGGCAGGGATGCTCAGTGGCAAAATGTTCTGGGTTCAATCCCCAGTACCATGGGGGAGGGGGGAGGAAGCCAAAAGAATGGATCTCTAAGAATCTGGGAACTTCAGAAGGGAGTTAATATGCTTATGTACTGATGGGAAAGATGCTTCCCCAGGACCAAGGACCACACCTGGCTTCAGCAACCCTGGTTGCTTCCTGTTCCTGAAGGTTCTAAGCGAGAGTGAGCAAGGGGTGGCCCCAGGGGGCTGATTACTAATGGCGCATTGCTATTAGGGCAAGATGAACCCATCAAGGGGAGGAAGTGACAAGGTAGAGGGTGACTGCAGAAGTATGCCTCAAATCCTGCACCTGTTTAGGATTACTGAGACCTCAGCCTAAGAATAGCCTTTCTATCGATCTCTCCTCCACCCTGTCCTCCAAAAGGCCAGATGAGATGGAAGGGAGTCAGAGCAAGAGGCTACAAGAGCTGGTTTTACTTATGTTCCCTCCAATGGTCAGTGGCCTCCTATTCACCAAACTAAAAGCCTTGCTTCGGTCCTTCCAGAGGAGGACCGCTTTTTGAACTGCTTCCGCCAGCCTGCTCTTGCCTGGCTCCTCCTGTAGAAGCAGTTCTAGGATTTCTTCTGTGTTCTCTCCTGTATGCTGTCTCTTGCTAGCCATCTCCACACCCTCAACCCCTTGTGCACGACTGATTTCTCTCCCAGACTCTGGAATTCTGCTCTGTTGCAGGCCTCCCTTGACTCTGTCTACATTACTGCAGGGGCTGCATCCACTGCACAGGTGGCTCTGCCCACCCGGAGTACCACACACCAGCTCTGTGCAGGCCCCTCACCAGCAAACTCCTGGTGTGGCTTTTAAGACTCTTGTCCAGGGCTATCCAGTCTCCCTGCCCCGCCCTCTCCTTTAGTACATCCCCTTCCAGAAATGCCATTAAAACAGGAACTCTTGCCATCGAGAAGTGCACTGTCTCCATCTTTGCTATGAGCAACCCCTGGACTGGCAGGGGAGCAGAGAACACTGCGCACCAGGCATCCTGAGAGTTCCTGCTGCTGGGCGCCATGGCACATGCCTGTAATCCCAGCGACTTGGGAGGTTGAGGCAGGAGGATCACAAATTCAAAACCAGCCTCAGAAACTTAGTGAGGCCCTAAACAACTTAAAAAGACCCTGTCTCAAAATAAAAGGGCTGGGGGGCTGGGGATGTGGCTCAAGCGGTAGCGCGCTCGCCTGGCGCGCTCGCCTGGTGTGCGCGGGGTGCTGGGTTCAATCCTCAGCACCACATAGAAATGAGATAAAGATGTTGTGTCCACCGAAAACAAAACTGGAGAATAAATATTTTAAAAATATAATTAATTAATTAATAAAAGGGTTGGGGGTGTGGCTCAGTGGTTGAGCACCCCTGGGTTCAATCCCTGGTACCAAATAAATAAATAAATATTCCTGCTGCCTGACAGGCCCTTCTCCAACATGCTCGCTCACCTGGACACTAGTGGCCTCCCTTGCTCCACAGGTATTTGACCCTCTCTGGCTCTGCTGCTGCTGGTCTCTCTTGCCAATCACTTACCTTTGCCTTTGCAACATATCACATAGCTCATCCCGAACCGTCATTACGTATGTTTGTGTGATGGTTCTGCTGGAGAAAAGGACCTTAGAGGTAAAAATAGTGTTGCCACACCCACCCACCCACTGCATGTGCCCAGCCCAGGACAAATCACAGGGGAAATGTATAATGAGGGGATCATCCAAATGAGGCCCCAGAAAGAAGTCATTGCCGGCACCCAGCTGTTCCTCAAGGTGCAATTCAGGTGTGAGGAGTCTTCAGCAGTTTCTGTAATACTTACTTCTTCCGTACAGTTCTCAAGCTCTGTGCTAATCCTTCAAGTAATTTTAAAAGATGGACAACAGGGAACTCTCAAGGCACTTCAAATTTAATTGGAGGGGTAAACTCATAGACTTTTTTTTTTCGTACCGGGTATGGGTATTGAACTCAGGGACACTAGACCACTGAGCCACATTCTCAGCCCTATTTTGTATTTTATTTAGAGCCAGGGTCTCATTGAATTGCCTGGCACCTCACAGTTGTTGAAGCTGGCTTTGAACTCGAGATCCTCCTGTCTCAGCCTCTGGAGCTGCTGGGATTGCAGGCATGTGCCACTGYGCCCAGTCTATTTTTTTTTCTATGTGAGGTTTTCTTTCTTATTTTTTAGTTGTAAATGGACACAATACCTTTATTTTATTTATTTATTTTTATGTGGTACTTAGTATCAAACCCAGTGCCTTGCACGAGTGAGGCAAGCAATCCAACACTGAGCTACCTATCCCAGCCCAAACATATAGACTTTTGGAAATCTCTCTGTTATAATATTTTTATTTTGGCAGGATTGAACCCAGGGGTGCTTTAGCAATAAGCTCCATCCCAGACCTTTTACATTTCTTATTGTGAAATAGGTTTTCC